CACTAAAAAGGCACGCAAAACTGCTTCAACTTTGAAATCTGTGCAGGACCCACCTGGAAGCAATCCAACACACGATGTGGTTCCGGAAATGTGCGATTACACAAGGATACGCTCACATCGATGCCGTCGCCATGTTGTATAAACACGAATGCCGCCCTTACTGACGCAGCTAATGACGGAAAGACGAACATCGTCCGAATTAGGGCCTCAGAAGAGATCTGTAAGAGCTATGGTTTATACAGGTGAGCCGGACATACCTGAGGCAAATCGACACAGCTTTTTCAGCTGGCGCAGTTCGGCTTCGAAGGGGTAATGCATGGCATCCAGCTAGGCTGTTTTGGCCACCCTGTGAAGACCTGCAGAATCCTGTGACAAAGTGGCTGACTCGCACCCGTCCGCAGCCTCACAAGAGTTTGCAGGTCTTATCTATGTGACGCTTGTTATTAACATCAAAACAAAATGAACTAGCGAAAGACCTCTTCATCTATGTGAGGCTTGTTATTAACATCAAAACAAAATGAACTAGCGAAAGACCTAAATGCCCCCTCCAAGCTGAGCAGCGGCCCTAGACAACCGATTTTTCTTCACTCACACAAGGCGCAGTTTGTCGACGGGGGGCATTTTGCACTTTTGCTACTTCCCATCGACGTGTCGGCCTATCTAGACAGCCTCTTCTCGAGTTGACAGGTTTTAACATGATGGCTTGACTACCTTGTTCCAGCTTCACAAGAGTTCACAGGTTTCGCCAGAGTGAGACATGTAAACCGGAACTGAGGAAGCAATGAGTACAAAATGCCCTTCCCACCCGTCGACAAACAGCGCCCTCACACAATACTATGGGTGGCAGGCTTAACCCAAACTCTCAAGCTTACCCTAGCTACGTTTTACTTATCCTGTACGCATTGCTATGGGTAACCGATTCTTTGGACCCTTTACGTCTATTTTACTATGAGTAGCACGCTTTACCACACCTCGAACCTACCCTACCCTTACCCAGACGGAGGTGGTGGAGTGGCAAGTGGTATGCTTACCATGCGTGTCGCCAGGGGTTCTGACCCCCTATCTGCTCCCGCCCAGGCCAATCAAACCTTCTATCCTTCGGGGACGATAAATTGGTACTAGATCCGTGTGGGAGGATAAGAACGCCTTATATGCGTGGGCTAGTCCCGCAATTCATTGTCTAAGTTATCGCATCCAATAAGCCGCTACGATTCAGAATGGAAGCAGATGCTCTCCCTCCCCCACCCCCCCCCCCCCCAAACGGAGAAAATCAAGGAAAGGCCCCAAAGTTGTTTAGTCCACAAATTCTGGGGAAAAATAACCAATGCGTGGGGTAGGAGCGCATCCCGTAGTTGAAAAATTATAAATATAGGCAGCAAAAAGGAATAAGTTACATTCAATAAATAATAAAAAGAAACAACAGAAAACTCACTCTGTTGTTGCTGTTGACCCTATAGAAGGCAAAATAGACGGCATGTGATCGATAGACGACTCGAAGTGTGCACTTTGCGATAGATGACGGTAAGCAGGCTCGCGCTGAAACATTCTCGATTCCGACTCTCCAATTTCGAGTTTCGACTCTCTATTCCAGGTTTTGCCA